CTGAAGGCAGTAACCTGGGCTTTTCAAATTACAGACAAGCTGAACGATTCCAATTCTTAAAAAAAAAAAACAACCAAAGCTACCCAGTAGCTCAAGCACATCCATTTAATAATTATTTCTCATGGCAGATTAGTTGTTCTAATAAATTTCACTAGCACCTCAGAGCATAATATGAATATAAAAGTTGTGGTACCATCCCTGCAATGGTTCTCTTCTCACCAGCCTGCCACCATACAGAGGTCTGCATCCAACACAAGAATACTGCAGAGCCTGAGGATCAACCTGTGGATCTACAGGGAGTTGGGAAAAATCCCAAAAAACTCAGCTCTCTGGCGAGTCCTCCATTGGGCATACCTGCCAGACCTTTCACTTGCTCCTGTTAGCAGACTGAGACATGAGAAGGTCATTTTTGTAACAACAGCACACAAACAGGTGCAGAATCCACAAAACACATTAACAAGTGTGGAAGAGGAAATAGGGAAAGCATTTCCTTACATGGCTACAGAATACTTCCTACCACTTCATATATTACAGGTTAATATGCCATGACCATACACACAGCTGAGTTCACTGATGCCTTGGTCTCCTTCCTACCTCTTCGCTGGCACTGTTCCCTGTGCTCTGATTCAGCATTTTCATTTATTCCTCTGCATGCTATTTAAATTATCTTTACACAACATGTACAGATGACACTGAAAAACTATTCCAAGATTCAGAGGACATTTGTTTGACACTGTTCCCATATTCTGCAGCAATACTGCTGGATGTTTTCCATAAGGTTCAGAGGAGAGCCTGCCAAACATTGAATTCACCTTCCAGGTGGCACAGAGGTAATGTTTCCATCAGCAACTCAACAGATACAGCAGAGATACCAACACTTCACCTGAGACATGCACAGGTCACACCTGGCACAGGGAAGTATAAGGGTCATTAAGTTTACTCCTTTACACTTAGCACAGACTGACATATGGCAAGATAAAAGCATTTGGTCATCAGTATTGCAGAGTGAAACTAAAAACCTGGAGAACCCCTAAAGACAAGACATCTGTGTTTTAACATCCATGTCTCAACAAGCATTGAGAAAAATGATGGATGTGCACTTTGGTCAGATATCATCTTTATTATTAAACAACATCAAACCCAAAAGTCAAAATTTGTCATACGCTCCCAAAAATCTTGTGATACCACAAAGGAATACCCTTCAAGGAACTGTTGGAATGATTTGAAGCCTCAAACTGTAAGATACTCAATTTTCTATTTTTATTTATTTATTTTTTAAAAAAGGAATAAGGATAAAAAGCCTACTTTTTATTAAAAGGAAGCTCACAGTTTCTCATATGTATGTGTTACTGAGCCTAGGGCGTTAAAAAGCCCAAATACTGCAAGAGTTCAGAAAACTGAATTTCAGTATCACTTGATTAAAATATGAATTTTACCAACTGCAAAGAATATCAAATGACGAACCAAGGATGGAGGGAGAAGGGATATGCACCAGAGTGAGAAGTAACAGCAAAAAAAAGAATTCTGGCTTCAAAAGGGAATTAAAACATCCTGCACAACAACATCCAGATAAAGTTTGTCTCATTTGTCGTCATATACAGCAGTTTTTATATACACAAGCTTTTCCTGCAAAGGAAGACAGGGAAGTAAACCACCAGCTTCTCCAGAAATTGTGCTCTGAGCTCCTCTGACAAAAGTCTGCTGTAACTACCAAAGTCACTTACTGTTTACACTGGCTAGATGAAGTTCAGAAATGGACTTTGTGTTCCACATTTGAACTGAAGAATAAGGGAGAAATGAGATTTTGTACACAAAACGTAGCGTTGGTTACATGATGCTAGGGCAAGACTTTCTAAAGATTAAAAGGTACTTAATTATTTAAGAACTTAAAAAACCAAAATTACTATATCTCAGGTACTTTGCTCATCTGCATGGATTTATCAAGTCTGGCCTCCCTTTCACACAATTTCCAGCAAAATGAACTCATCTCCCACCAGCCCTAGCACTTATTTTCATATTATGCAAAATACCCCACAGTTTTTTCACTACTTTATTTAATGAATATTAATAAATAGTTTTGTACTCCAAATGCTACTCTTCCTGACCATTTTAAAAATGTTTCTTTTTTGTCTTCCATATGGGCACAGTTCACTGAACAGTATAGGATAAGATTCTGTTTTTTTCCTTTGGAAGTTAAAAGCAAAGTTTCTGACTTCACATACAACTTCCACTGTTATAAAATCTTTGTTTTCATAAACATGTTTGTAATGAAGGAATGTTTGGATGAAGAATGAACGAATTTACATGTGTATATGAACAACATTAACTGAAGAGATCCTGAACAGAAAGTATAAATATTATTATATCAAAGCTGAAGATTACAAGTTGTCCTGACTTCATGTAAGTTTTACAGGACTGTATCTACATCTGATCACAACTCATAATAACGGGCATTATATTCCTAAAGAGACTCAGACTTTCTTTCCTGTGGAGCTGTATATTCAGAGCAAGACCACGCATTCCTCAATTTCTCTCTTAAATATGCTCAATAGTTCTGACTCTCAATAAGATGTCATCTGGAAGGAAGTTTTCTCAAGTAAATCTCCACTTCCAGCATCTAAGGAAAAAGATACCATCAAACTCCTGATCACAGTTTCTGAAAACCTGCTGTTTGTGTTGATCACCCATCTTCATAGAATCACTGAGGTTGGAAAAGACCACTAAGATCACTAAGTCCAACCCCCAATCCACCCCCACCATGCCCACTGACCACATCCTCAGAGCCACATCTCTACAGTTCTTGAACACCTCCAGGGATGGTAATGCTACCACCTGTGCAGCCTGTTCCAATGCCTCACCATTCATTCTGAAAAGCAAACTCTCTCAGTATCCAACCCGAACTGAAAATAACTTAAAAAATATAGATGGGAAGAACGAAGCTAGAGGAAATTACTCAGAAGAGAGCACTGAACTCATAGAGAAAGTCAACCAAACACAACATGCATGATTTAAGTACTGTGCAACAGTATCCATAGCTACAAAACTCAGACAAAAGCATCTTGGTGACCTGAGGGACAAGTGATCAAGTCTCACAGCTTGTAGACAGAAGTATCACTGTGTTCCATGAAGATAAAATGAACACTGAGCTTTGCACCCCACTAAATGCTATAGAAGTGGGGATTACACTCAGCTTCTTCAAAAGGGATTTTCAACATATTCACCAATTTTTAGAATATTAATGGTGAGAGGATACGAACTGTCACACCTGTGTGTGCTAACATGATTAGCCCATAATGTCACAAAAGTTCCAAGCAACTTCTCCGCAATTAAATCAGATATGTTAACAAAGTCCTGTATTTGTTATATTAGAATGAAATTGCACAACACATACTTGCCATAAGTCATATTTTGCTGTTACAAGTTTATAGAAACTTATTATTTACAACTAGCAAATGACCTATGTGCTGCTAAACACAGAAATTAAAATTGAAAAAAACAGTGGTGTGGTTTTGCACTTAATTCAAAGCTCAGCCAAACCCAATCATATAAGAGTTAAGTTTCACAGATGTAAGAATCAACATAGTACATCAAGATAAAGTCTGCTTTGCTAACAAGAACTGCTTTTGCACAGATTCCATAACCTTAAAATCTCTAAGAACTCAAATGCATCACAGTGGTAATACAGGGAAGTTTTCAAGTTCTAAATGAGCACCTTACACTGACTGTCCACAAGTCAGGGGAGAAGACATCCCAACTGGGATTCTTCCATGAAATATTACTCATGTCAAATACATAGTTTCCTGCCTTGGAGGCATGTTAAATTCCAACAGTGCTCAACATCTTTCAGTAGTCTCATATGCATCTCTTTTCACTACATTCTCACACATTTTACTCCAGAACAGAATCAAGTAGATAAAACCACCTAATCTTTTCATTTCTTCTTTCCAGCAGTTCTGCTAAGGATGACAATGGCACATTATCAGACCACTTACTTCATTATACTATTAGCCACATACCACTATTGCCCACCGGTCTATATGTACTGCAGGTGTTCATCTTTGCCTAATCTACAAAGAAAAACAGAATCATAGAAATTCTATCTTTTGCTGGAAAGTAGGAAAATTTTGGTGACTTGGATTTATACACTATTTTTGTAATAGCCTCAGAAATGGGATATGACCCTGACCATTGATAACAGCCAAATCACAGAAGACTTTCATGAAATCTACAGAGCAACTTGTACCTGTTTCTTTTATTTAAAACTGTTCACATTCTGTTCATGCTGATTGTGGTGACAGGAGCTAGTCAATATCTAGCTGTTATTAAGAGGAGGGGAAAAATGTATATAGGCATCTTTTGAATGGAAATTTGTTTACCCTAAAGACTTGCAGGATTTCACAACGTCTACTCTTTAATTAGATGAGACACCTAAAACCAGCTCTGCATATTCTAAAGATAAGCCAGAATCATCTTAGAGAAAACATCAATGAAAACATCTTAAGTAATTTTGGTCCTAAAATTACTCTTGTAGATTTGCATATGCTTAAAGACAGAGTACAAAAAGAAGATTTTCATCTCTATTCTCAGAATTTATTTTCTGCTGTAAGTTTCTTTACCCCAGATAGGAAAATGTCAGAAATCCTCCTATGCCTCCTCAGTCATCTCACAGACAGAAACCAAATCACCTTTCCTCTCCCTTGCTCCAAATAAAGAAAATATAAAACAATAACAATAAAAAAAAATTACATCTTAATTTTATTATTTTTGTTTTCACTCTTCACCAAAACCATATTTGCCAATACATCTGATAGCAACATTACAACACAGCATTGATATACTTGAAAAAAGGCACTTATAACAAGAAAGCATTAAGCTCAAGTGCATGAAAAATTATTGGAAGCTGAAATTTTATCCTCACACTTAAAATAGTCAGCATTCACTCTGGCACTGTTATTCTGTCAAGGAACACAATTTAATAAAATGGTATATTGTCAACTCACCACAACATGCGCTATGCCTCATCTATAGGAAATGGTTTGAAGGCATCAGCTTCACACATGGGTTGCCATAGCTGATACTGGAGACTGGCTGGCTGCTGGTACAGCTTTCTAATACTAGCCCTAGACATAAAAAAAAAAGAAAAAGAAAAACATTTGGGTGTTTTAGGTAAGTTAAACACAGACAAACTAAGTTAAACCAGAGCATCAATATTTGCATGTCACAAAACGAAGAAATCTAAGATTGTTCTGATATTCCCATTCAGAGAAGTATCTACACAAGACCTTAGCTTGCTATCTTACCTGGAAAAAAGAAACGTTAAAGCCCCAAAACAACACAAAATTAAGTGCTGTTTAAATGGAAAAGAGGTGTCATGTTTATATTTCACCAAAAAATAAAAATGGAAAAACAAAGGATGGCAAATCCAACTGTTCAGGAGCTCATGCTATCCCAAGTTACAACACTGCACTACAAATCATGGAACTGTCCTTAAGTTGTTTGCTTTTGCTTTTGTTTCTATTTCATCTTTTCAGATTTTTCTGATTTTTCCTTGGAGAAAGAAACATCAGCAACCTTCACTGAAACGGTGAGATTTATACACAGGCATCTATTAATAATACCTGGGGATTACACTGAAATTTGACTTGTGATCACAAGTTGGCAACAGAAATGCTTTATGAAACGTTGATACACTGAGGCATAAGGAAAGGCCTTGGACTGCTGCTGTCTATGAAATCACGATGCTCTTAAAAAGCACCACCACAGCAAAACATCTTCAAATGATGGAGCATTTGTACTTACACACAAGCTTAAGGAACAGGGTAAGCAGCAAATGTAAGAAGCTGTGAGAGTAAACAGTAACTAAGAAGAGAAACAATTGCATACCACTCTGGTGTGAAACTACTGAACAAAACCCCAAGCATACAAATAGTGATGAGTGTTAAGCAGAAGGCAACCGCATTCATCACTGATCATCACTAAACTCTGGGCAACATTTTCTTAGCATTGTTTTGCAAGGTCTTCAAATACCTCCCAAGAAAAGTGAACTGTATCTTGGAAGTCATGAATATAAACAAAAATCTGTATGTTAAAACAATTGCTTTATCAGAGAAAGACCACAACACTTTACATCCAAATCACAAACTCCCCTACTCCTTGAATTGTAATTCACAGTTCCAGGTTACCTGATCCATTGCTGCGAAATCCTGTTGAAACAGCTATTGATGGAAATCAGAATTTTGCTCTTCAGAGCCTTCTACTTTCAGTGTTTATTACAACACAAAAAATTGGCACCTGTGCTAGGAGCTGGAAGTACCCTAAATTTTCCATATCTCACTGTGATGCAAGCAAGAGCCATAGCCGTGAAGTTAGGATGGTGTTCTTAACCCTGGACCAGAAAAGAACCTTAGTGTAGGAGTACAACTGCTCTTTTTCTAAGAGAGGCTCTGATTGTCGTATTCTCCAGACTTAATCCAAAAGATAAATGAAAGTTAATGACCTTCCCTTCCCTCGACATGAAGGTGAGAACATTCTACTGCCACCAGTACACTCACATGCAAAATTAAAAATAAGTAAATCAATCACTGTTTAGTGAACAAACAAAACAGACTAAGAAATATTAGGAGCTGAGCTTCCTGTCCTTCTATATTAAGCACATGCCAAAAGTGCCCTTCATACTGGCTAACAAAAGCAGGTGCATCAGTCTAAAAGGGAAATACAACAACTCAGCTTAAGGACAACTGTTCGATTTCTGCAGACTGTGGGTCATGGAATCCTGTACCACCATCAGTCTTGCTTTGGATCTATCCTTGCATCTCATTATCACTGAGAAAGAGAAAACAAATTTCTACTACCTCACATTTCACACCAAAGTTACCAACACAGCTGCTTTCAGTTTTAGACCAACACCATTACTTGAGTACAAAAGCTTTTTTGTTTCTCTGAAAGACATGTTCCTACGTCCATCTACGCAGATGGTGCTGCAAGAAAGAAGCTCACAGCAAAAGCAACATTTCTCCTCCTAGCTGCTGCCGTTCATTAGGGTTAATTTTTCTTGCAGGTGGCCCCATTCAAACAACTGTTTCATAGAATCAGTGACAAGGCAGCAGAACAGAAATGTTGGTAGTAAAGCTGTTCAGTGTTGGGGTCCAGAGAAGTCTGATGACAAAACAGAGCAGCAGCTATGGTAGCACTGCAATCACTAGGCCTTCAGGTTCTAATTTCTAGTAGTGGTGTTATAAACTCAAAAAGGAATGCGAGGGTCTATAGACATAAGATTGCTCACCATAGACAAAAACAGGAAAGGAAAAAAATCAATAACACACAACAGTCTTAACTTTGATCTGAAGGCTTATCAGCACACTGATAATATTCTTTGTTACTTAAGAATTATCCCAAGAACTGACCCAGTTTATAGTGCATAAGAGTTTAAGAGAGATCAAATTTTAAAGCTGGGGTTGCAAGTGCAGTTTTTCTATTTTTCAAAACTTAATACAAATATAATATCCAAAAGTGCGATGCCAATATCCCATTCCTTTCAGCCTGCTTCATCTCCCCCTTCCTGCATAAGCTGTGCAACTGACTGCAAATTGTGGAAGAGTTTTGTGACATTTCCAAATACAACAGTAGGGACATTTTGATGGCTCTTTGTTTTCTAAAGAGAAATTTAATACTGTAACACTACTGGAAGACTTTTTGCCTTATAACAACTGATTAATTACTATTAATTCCCTAAATAGCTATAAACATGCCAATGACTGACAACAACAAAATAATCATAATAATTATAAACAAACAATCATAATTAAAAACAACAAAAACCCACACATCCCCAAAATCTGCTCACAAAAATCTCCCTCAGTGCAGACATTTCTAACAACAGAAGAACATTTGCTAGCACCAAGCAGGCAGACAGGCAACTGAAATCAACCAGTTTTTCCACGTCAAGTGATTTTCACCCTTACCCCATTTAGAAACATGTTTGTGATCGTAATACTGCTCAATACAGTAACAATTACACCAGGACTCTGATTAATTCTGCATGCTCTGGAGCAGCAGGATGGAGCACCATGTGAGCACACAGCTCACTGAGGGTCAGGAGAAGGAATATGGTTTAATGGCTGAGGTCAAATCACCTTTGTCATTCACATCTGCTCCCCCCAGGAGAAAGCCATTAGTTCAGCCAGTTGAAAGGTATTTTCTTGCCACCTTTCCTAGCATCAAGACAGTGAGCACACAGCAGGAGTATGTGGAAGAAAACTGCTCTGGAGCCTTCCTGGCTGGTGGCTACAGAGCAGCATTCCGAAATAGGGTTAAAGATCGGAGTTCTGGAGAACCTCCCCAAGGCTCAAAAACCAAAGCAAGCTGACATGTGGGCAAAGATAACAGCCCTGTGCAGAAGCAAGGCCATCTCATCCTATTTCAACCTTTCCCTTTTTCTGAAGCTGGCCTTACATTCTCTGTCCTCCAACAACCTGATTGCAGGCTTCTCCCAGGCATTTACATTTCTCTCCTTAAAAAAAAAAAACAACTCCACTCTGTGCCATTATTCTCTTCCCTCTCCCCCCAGAAATCTGTATTTTCAAGGACCATTGGTTTGTCTTTAAACAGATCTCTGGCAAAACTCACACAGAGTACATCGCAGGAGGGAAAGGCTGCAGTGAATATACCATGTAGCTATGCAGCAAAAGGAGCCCACGTAAAGAACTGAAAGCCATTGAAGACAAACGCCATGGAACATGCCCAGTTTAGGTCAGTGGGAGCACAACAATGCTAACACTTCATTAGGCAAATAGCATTTGTTTTATTTATTTTTACGTCCCTCTGTAGAAGAAAAACTACTGACGTTTCTTCTTGTAACAAGAGCTTTTCTGCCAAAATATCTCCCTGCAAAGCAGCACCAATTTCACTGCAGTATTCAGCAAGTGTTGAGCTCTTTTGCAGAGCAGCTGCCCTGCAGCGTGCTGTAAACACCTCTCCCAAAGCTCCCATGGTGCCATCAGATGCAGTCAGCTTTTCCATTCACTTATACTGGGGCAGTCACACAGAAGACCAATGGTTTTCTTGGCCAGCTACTTACTTACAGGACACCTCCACACTCAGAACAGCTTTTCAGATCCTTCTGCCCACCAGCACCTTTTTCCTTTTCTCTCTCCTTTCAGCCGCTTTGCTGAAGGCCAAGACTTATGTCATAAAAATCATAGAATTATAAAGGTTGAAAAAGACCTCTCAGATCATCATGTCCAACCTCTGACCTATCCCCACTAACCCACGTCCTCCAATTTTCCATTTGCTTAGCATCACCTTATCTTCCGCTTCCACTGATTCTCATTTTATAAGCTCTGCATGGACAATACAACTTCCATAATGTACTCTTTGCTGCTGAATTGTGCACCGAGACCCCTTTTTCCTCCCAAAGCCCCTAGGCAGCAGTGAGGCTGAGCAAACCACGACTGTTTACATGAGCCAGCTGGTGAAGCACTGTCACCCCATCCACGATGTGCACTGCTCTCACAACCAATGAAACACTCAAACACACACTTTTACAGACCCTAACACAGGAACACAACGATTCTCAGCCACAATACGGAGGGATGCAGCCATCCCACTCCAATTCACCGTTTGCTCCATTAACCTGCCTTCTGCTCCCCCATTCTTAAAGCAACACTCAGCATCCATCACCCCACCCCACAAGAGCAGGTCAGTCTTTGACCACCAGTGTCAGATGCCTACCATTCCGTGCTGCCTCTGTCCTCCTCACCCAGCCACCTTCCCCCAGCTGCACGTCAGGTGGTATTGTTAAGCCACATTCCAAACGGTGCCAAGGAAGAGATGAGCTTCTTATAAAAAATATAAAGAAAAATAAAATAAAGGTGTGCAGCTGGATCCAACGTTCTCCTTAAAGAATTATGTAAAAGAAAATAGAGGAGAAAAGAAAAAGGGGAGGCAAAACGCTTGATGATAATGGAATAAGAGAAGAGGTTGGTTGCTGAATCACGCTCTGTCACTGCCTGGGAACCATTGTGCAGCTGATGCTGGCTGTACCATTGTGGAAGGACCGGAGGAGACAGGCGGAGCGATGGGGAATGGGGCTGCCATGGCAACGAGCAGGAGCGCACATGAC